CAGTAAAACTGATGTTTGAAGACCGTATGTTTCACAGTGGAAAAGTTTCTGTTTTCAACTCAACAAACCAGATTGTCATGACATAGTTTAAAGTCATCTATACCAGATATCTATCCAAAAAGAAAGTGATATTAAAACTGTTAAATGTTATATATATTAATATAACAGCCTGTTCCTCATATTACATAAACTGATACATTATAACAGAATTGTCCTGGACATTTAGATGCTCTGATCGGACATGACAGGCTGTCAAATAACCAAATCCCTACTGACACTAATAAAATATTAATATTATTCAATTTGTATGTTCAGATTATTTTAAATTTATTTCATTTAATAGAACAGAGAAAAAAACCTTTAACATTGTGACTTAGATTTGAATGATGTAAAATTGAAAAGAGCTGGTACATTCGGAAAATACTAGATTTTAATGATTACATGTAGGGTCTATATTATATTTATTTATAACTTTTTCAATCTTTAACATTGTGACTTTAAAATTGAGATTTTAATGATGTAAAATTTTAAAGAAAAACTGTAGAAATAATCTTGTTTTGACCATCTGGTGAAATTGCAGTAAAAAACATTAAATTTTACACCCATAGTGTTCATCCCTAATACCAAACATTGTAGAGTAATATTAAAGTTGGGTTCCCTTACACCATAGTGTTCAATCCCTAATACCAAACATTGTAGTGAAATATTAAAGTTGGGTTCCCTTACACCATAGTGTTCATCCCTAATACCAAACATTGTAGAGTAATATTAAAGTTGTAGTCTCCTCTAGTTCCAGTAACTGATATCTCTGAGGAAGTGCTTTATCAATATCAACTCAGATAAAATTGTCCATGTTTGTCAGAAAAACACTAGGGATGTTGTTTGGGCTGTAATTGCCAGTCTCGTCTGAGCACAGCTATTAAAAGGGAGTTCGTTCCGCTTGAGCTTGTATGTGTATTAAACTGATAACATCAATTTGCACCACTCTGATTTCTAGTCAGGTGTCTATGGCTCTTGGAATTCCACTAAAAATAGGTGTGACTTCACATTAAAAATTGAAAATTGAACATTGATGCTATCAGTGTCCTTTAGGAAATCTCTTTACAATCCCTTTAACAAGGCTAATGATAATTAATATCATAGAGAAAAAAATACTTTACAAAAGACTATAGTAAATAAAATCAGATTCATTTCTCTTTACTGAATGAAGAAAGCCACTTTATTGAAAAAAAGATCTCTGGGCAAGCCATCTTTAACCAAGATATCATAAATAATATTAGTAAGATTTGGGGTCAAATTTCATTTTAAAATGTAAAAATCTTGTTTCTAACATAAAATAAAAGTTAAAAGTATAAATTATAGTGGAATATTACTGTTATTTAAAGAATGGTAAACATAATTTCTGTTTTTAACATCATAAACTATAAACTATATTTTACATTTCAAATTTTAATTTAGTTAACATGGTTTAATTTTAATATATCAAAACTATTATAAAATAATTCATTATAAACAACAATTCATGATCTGTGAACTCTCTTAATGTTTATGTCCAAATGAAAATTCTAAACTAACTTTAAGATGTAAAACAATAAAACCTAGAAGATGAAATATAAACTATGTAAATCAGATATTATTATTAAGTTAAATCACTATATTCTGGACTAAAGAAGAGAATATTTATCTAAAGCAAAAATACTTACCGTGTTTTATAGAAAAAACACCATTAAAACCTTAAAAACTACTACAACTTGATTCAGAAATTGACCATTACTAATGAAATAGGATCTATTTGTTCTGGTTTTAACAAACTTTTCTTTAAAAAAATATTTTTTTCTCACCCTTCGTTTTAAAACACATTTAAAATAGTCTCTATAAATTGACTCTGAATTAAATCAAACTGAAAAGAATCATAATTCTCCTTAAACTTTGTTCATCCAACCAGAGATATAAAGTGTTATAATTGAACCTGATATAGGAAAAACTAAATTAATCTATTTATTTCAAAGGTTCGATTTGGGTCACAAGTTTTTTTTAACTTTACTGATGTTTAATTAATTCAGGAAATTTGTTTTAATTATGGGAAATATAGAGATTAGTACTGGGTTAAACTTCACACTTTTCAGCAGTTTTCATCAAAATACTTTCTCAAAACTGGTAATTTTATAGTTTTCTTCATTTGAACAGATTTATTTGACAATTTTTTCAAAAAAGAAAAAGTTATTTGTGAAGAAATAGCTACATTTAATCTGAAAATTAAAACTGTTAAAGATCTTCTACCACTTACTAGATCCAGTATAATAACTTAAAGATCCTCTACCACTTACTAGATCTAATATAATAACTTAAAGATCTTCTACCACTTACTAGATCTAATATAATAACTTAAAGATCTTCTACCACTTACTAGATCCAATATAATAACTTAAAAATCCTCAACCACTTACTAGTTATGACTGATCCTGTTCGATTTACTGGATTCAGAATGATAACTTAAAGATCCTCTACCACTTACAAGGTTCAACAATAGTGATGCAATTATTTTGATGATAGACTAGAGCTCTATTAAAGCTCTGGTTCTGCTCAGTGAGATCAACATAGAAACAGTGTCGTATGTATACCTCTTTGAACTAGTCCTGATGGTGAATGGTCAACCACACTCTGTCCATATACTGAAGATCAAAGATGATCCAATAGTTCTATTATAGTAATTAGCAAACACCAAGAAACCAGTTTACAATGGAACTGACCGAAACCCTACCATCCTCTACTGTCCTATATCTTTTTAATCACCATTTTAAACAATTGACGTAAAACTCCATTCATTTCATTTCAACAATGGAGTTATGAAAACAGAATAATTTTCCACATTCTAAGTTTGACAGTAGAAAAAACACTCATACTGACAAATTAATCCACTACCGTTCACCAACCAACCTGTACAAAGCCTAGTATTGCCCATCTTCACAATGTCAAGCTATTATAATACAACGTTCCTAAAAGCTTGACATTGTGAAGATGACATTAACCAAACAGGTACACTTGTAGTTATATATCTATACAGGTACCCTCCCCTCCTATCATCTTCCCCATCACGAACTATGTCTTATACCTTGACTACAATAGGCTCATGTCTTTTATCACAGAATCCATCGATCTAATTGGGCTGTACGCTAGCGAATACTCCCCTTACTACGTAGCTCGAAATACCTGGACATTGTGGAGATGTCCTTCCATATAATTTGGGTCTCCTCTGAAAATATCCTGATATAGACCTACTAGAAGTTTTATCATACATACCAAATATTTTATGTACGACCGATCATTGTCTTCTATTACTAGTATAATTATATTTATACTAATATTATTTAGAGAACTGTAGGATGTAAAACTCCAGGTCGAGTAGTATATATCCTATAATATAGATATCAGTCAGTAACTAGTGATTATACTAACTGGACGACAACTCTCTATAATTATCTCTATTATATTATTAATATACAGGTTTATCCGGGTACACATACTTCTGGGTGATAGGGGGATATCTCTATATATCCCCCCATCACCCAGAAGTATGTGTGGGAGGTGGAATAAGAATGCCAAACGTGTCACCGAAGCGGAACCGGCTGGAGGCCTTTGAACTCCAAGTTGCCTGGACCCTGACATGACTAGCAGAGGCTTGACAGTTAAATCAGATTGTTAAACGTCACAAAAATGGACTTGATTAACTGGTGCGGGCGGTAGTTTGAACCGTCATACCAAATTATATCAAATGTTACAGAGTCGAAGAAACTCAGACAATGGATATGATGATGGCAATGAATTTAATTGACATTTTGCTCCTTCTTGTACATCTCGTTCATTGTTGGATGAAACTTCAGGGTTTCGTGTGGGTCCCCCTCCCCCCACTTGTTTTGTCATACTAGCGTTGAAAGATAAAGCTACGGTCCTAGTCGATGAATCATACTTAATGATGACCAGAAATTTAATTGACATAATTTAGTGTCGGTATCTCACTGTCTGTCGACCTATTATCGTTAATATTTCAACAATTATTTTACGTTGGGCTACAAAAACCAACCAGTGACAGGACAAAATCGTTTATACTAATTTCTTTAAGTATAATATTCATTAGTGTTCAGATATTAAAAAACATTAAAAATATATTTATATTCAAACCACAGTTTCTCAGTGTATTTCCCGTGTCATTAAGAAAGTCTAGCGACGGAAGAAAGAAGTAAAATATAATAAGCAAGGGTGTGGTTGAGTCTTTGTTTTAATCTTTTATTATATCTCTCAGGTTAACACCAGGGTTCTATTTTATATCTCTCAGGTTAACAACAGGGGTCTATTTTATATCTCTCAGGTTAACAACAGGGATCTATTTTATATCTCTCAGGTTAACAACAGGGTTCTATTTTATATCTCTCAGGTTAACAACAGGGGTCTATTTTATATCTCTCAGGTTAACAACAGGGGTCTATTTTATATCTCTCAGGTTAACAACAGGGATCTATTTTATATCTCTCAGGTTAACAACAGGGGTCTATTTTATATCTCTCGGGTTAACAACAGGGGTCTATTTTATATCTCTCAGGTTAACAACAGGGATCTATTTTATATCTCTCAGGTTAACAACAGGGATCTATTTTATATCTCTCAGGTTAACAACATGGATCTATTTTATATCTCTCAGGTTAACAACAGGGATCTATTTTATATCTCTCAGGTTAACAACAGGGATCTATTTTATATCTCTCAGGTTAACAACAGGGTTCTATTTTATATCTCTCAGGTTAACAACAGGGGTCTATTTTATATCTCTCAGGTTAACAACAGGGATCTATTTTATATCTCTCAGGTTAACAACAGGGATCTATTTTATATCTCTCAGGTTAACAACAGGGTTCTATTTTATATCTCTCAGGTTAACAACAGGGGTCTATTTTATATCTCTCAGGTTAACAACAGGGATCTATTTTATATCTCTCAGGTTAACAACAGGGTTCTATTTTATATCTCTCAGGTTAACAACAGGGTTCTATTTTATATCTCTCAGGTTAACAACAGGGATCTATTTTATATCTCTCAGGTTAACAACAGGGATCTATTTTATATCTCTCAGGTTAACAACAGGGATCTATTTTATATCTCTCAGGTTAACAACAGGGTTCTATTTTATATCTCTCAGGTTAACAACAGGGATCTATTTTATATCTCTCAGGTTAACAACAGGGATCTATTTTATATCTCTCAGGTTAACAACAGGGATCTATTTTATATCTCTCAGGTTAACAACAGGGGTCTATTTTATATCTCTCAGGTTAACAACAGGGGTCTATTTTATATCTCTCAGGTTAACAACAGGGATCTATTTTATATCTCTCAGGTTAACAACAGGGATCTATTTTATATCTCTCAGGTTAACAACAGGGATCTATTTTATATCTCTCAGGTTAACAACAGGGATCTATTTTATATCTCTCAGGTTAACAACAGGGATCTATTTTATATCTCTCAGGTTAACAACAGGGATCTATTTTATATCTCTCAGGTTAACAACAGGGTTCTATTTTATATCTCTCAGGTTAACAACAGGGGTCTATTTTATATCTCTCAGGTTAACAACAGGGATCTATTTTATATCTCCCAGGTTAACAACAGGGATCTATTTTATATCTCTCAGGTTAACAACATGGTTCTATTTTATATCTCTCAGGTTAACAACAGGGTTCTATTTTATATCTCTCAGGTTAACAACAGGGATCTATTTTATATCTCTCAGGTTAACAACAGGGTTCTATTTTATATCTCTCAGGTTAACAACAGGGTTCTATTTTATATCTCTCAGGTTAACAACAGGGATCTATTTTATATCTCTCAGGTTAACAACAGGGTTCTATTTTATATCTCTCAGGTTAACAACAGGGTTCTATTTTATATCTCTCAGGTTAACAACAGGGATCTATTTTATATCTCTCAGGTTAACAACATGGATCTATTTCATATCTCTCAGGTTAACAACAGGGTTCTATTTTATATATCTCAGGTTAACAACAGGGATCTATTTTATATCTCTCAGGTTAACAACAGGGTTCTATTTTATATCTCTCAGGTTAACAGCAGGGATCTATTTTATATCTCTCAGGTTAACAACAGGGTTCTATTTTATATCTATCAGGTTAACAACAGAGTTCTATTTTATATCTCTCAGGTTAACAACAGGGATCTATTTTATATCTCTCAGGTTAACAACAGGGTTCTATTTTATATCTATCAGGATAACAACAGGGTTCTATTTTATATCTCTCGGGTTAACAACAGGGTTCTATTTTATATCTCTCGGGTTAACAACAGGGTTCTATTTTATATCTCTCAGGTTAACAACAGGGTTCTATTTTTGGCCGTGGAAGACGAGAAACTAATGAAGACTGACAGCACTTTTCAGTTGTAACTACTATTAGGTTGACCAAATCCTGTGATGGCGATGCCGACGTTAATTTCTGATCAGTTCTTAACAGCCTTATTAGGTTGCTTGATTTTTCTTCACCCCTCGACAGTTGGAAATGGAAAAAGAGCAGGCTAATGCCGCTGTCATGGCAAAATTTCCCTCATAGCACCCGGCATGGCGTTGCCCGTCTACATTAGCCCACGTGGTGCAGAAAAGTAAGACGTAAAACCCAATTCATTTCATTTTCCGACTTTTCTTCAGACAACAACCGTTTAGTCTTGCAGACTTCTTTGGCTCTTTGTAGGTGTAAAACTCCAACAAATTAGATATTAAGATATAAGAGATTGTAAATAAGATTAACGACTCTCTGTTTTGTGCAAAACAACCGTGAAATTGTTTACCGGACGTTATGTTTATTTTCACAAATTCTGATAGACCTTGCCATAATTATTATTCATTGTGACAAGAAGCTTAAATCATTTATCTATTTAATAATAGATTTATTAAGCCCGTATCTAGTTGTACAATAGTCAAATAAATCGAATAGATATTCAAATACCCACAACGTACGTAAAAGGGTATCTATATCTTCTTAAATTGGACACTCAAACTGTGGATTCAGAACATTTTAATGGCTGAAATGGAGGTAACTCTTGTTTGACTCTTGTTGTAAAACAGACCACAGCGATTTCCTTTACACGACAACTTATATTACATTAAACAATTTTAAGAACTTAAGAATATAGGACTTAATGTTAGCTAATTGAATAAAGCTTATCGTTTTCTGCCTACATGTGTTTCAGATATACAATCTTCATCAGGACAGCTTTATTGATATTTGGAATAACTTTTCATGATTGGACTTTAGGCGAACTACTTTATTAGGATGATTTAGCAGTGCAGATGATTTTCTTTCTTCACACTCGTGTTAATTTGATTGTCGGATTTTTCGGGAATAGGGTGTCAAAAACGTCGGACGTAAAATTCCATTTCATTTCAAATCACAGTGCAGATAAAAAAATAATGGCGACGACAGAAGTAAACTGTTAATACTAAATGTCAACATACACATGGTGCATCAGGTATTTCAATTAACATTTACTTTGTGACTGGTAAAATATTTCACAAACATTCAATTTGTAACAGTTTTATAACAGTAACATAGGATGGCAGTGTAAATTGTCGAAACGTTGTGTACAGTAAAAACAGTATACCATATATGCGGTGTTAATAAGGCCAGGATACCAACAAATCTGATAATGACGATGTAAATTGTAGAAACACTATTTACAATAAAATCCAGGAGTAGTATACCGTATAAACTGATGACACTGTATACTGTTGAAACGTGGTATGTGATAAAAAATCCAGAAGTATTTCACCATAGGAAATGATGACAATGTAAATTGTAGAAACGCGGTGTGCAATAAAATAAAATCATATTTTCCTATCTCGCCATGGATTGACTTCATTGAACTATATTCTCAGGAACCTATTTAATTATCAAGTTGAATGATTGACTGGGAATACGATGAATTAAGATATTTCGATATAAAATTGAGTTAAATTTGGTTGATTTTATTCTGGGGAAAATTTAAATATTCAGTATGGAACGTCACGACTAAAAACATTTAGTCGGTCAAACCTTGTTTTTAGATTTTGAATGTCGAAAAATGTATCAGAGTGTTTTACCGGAATGAAGTGAAGTTATGTTGTTGATGATAATGGTAAACATTGTGGTAGGTTTCGATTATTTTGTTGAAATATTAGCTAAATAAATTGGTTAGATTGCGAAAGTTATTCTGATTCCGATTTTATAAATCCTTAGTTCCAAACTTTTTAGCTTTTCGTACACTGACCGAGGATTCGAGATAAAGCTAGGTCCAACACTTTCTGGTTCTAAACAGCGGAGCCAGAGAAGGTTTGGTTAGTTATTAGAGACCCGGACTAGATATCTAAAAAAATAACCGAGAAAGATTTGGGTCTGTGTTTAAATAAATAACAAGTTAGTTGATAGATGAACAGTTTATCACTTCCCGTTAGATCATCGCCATCTCTTCAGATAAACAGATCTTACCACCACGAACTAATAACCATCACTAATCTTACTGATATACTGAAAGACCTCTACAGCGACCACCAACATTAATTTTACCAATTATATCCAGCACAAGGTCTACTACATTAACCATTATTCTGGAATATCTCACCAAGATGGTGTGGAAAATAATTATATCATGTACAGGTAAGGTTTGTGTTTTGTATGTTGTATATTGAACCTGTTCAGATTGTTGTTAGCTATTTTGGATCAGTAGAGAACTTCAGGTTCGCTCAAAACATCTCATCGAATTGATCGACTATTCAGAGCTGAGATAAACGAGATGGTCGTAGATTCTGAACGTACAGGTTGCATTTAAGATTAATATTTTGTAATATTGTAACTGGCGGCATCACGTGTCTATTCAATCCAGTAATAGATCAGATTCTCTCAGATGCCACTAGTATTCATTTAAAATAAGTTGTTTCCTGATTCCACCAGCAGTAAGGTGAAGCTGATAGGGTTAGGCCTCAGTAAGTTTCGACAGAAAGAAAGATGTTATCAGTAGCGTTTCAATGGTCGGTGGATCTTTTGTCATCATTATTGTATGTTAATCTATTTTCTTCCCCAAGAATTGGACAGCAAGATGACAGAACAAAGGAACTAATTTGAATTTTTTTAATCTTTTATAAATGATTAGTTGAATATGTAACAGTATAGTCAGAGAACTGTTCGATCAATGTTGAATCATGTTGAATCATGTTCAATCATGTTGGACAATGTTGAATCATGTTGAATCATGTTGAATCATGTTGAACAATGTTGAATCATGTTGAATCATGTAGGACAATGTTGAATCATGTTGAATCATGTTGAATCATGTTGAACAATGTTAGCATTATGAACAGATTTTAATAATATAGGCATGAAATACGGAAACGGAACTTTTCATTCCGGGTTGTGTAATTTCAAGCGAACTGCGTGTCAGAAAAATGAACCAAAATCAATTGCGATGCACGCCTGAAATGTAATTATTTTCATATTGATATAAGGCTTAAATCGTATTTAAACATTTATTTTGCGGAATTAGTTATCCATACATTACAAATCCTTTAAAAACGTTGACATCAATTTCATATTTAACTGACAATTTGTACCGGGTTTAAAGTTGCCTCTACCACTTTATATTAATATTGAGAACTATCCAGTCTGTTGCTGTTGGGTTTTTTTTAATATGAACCTGTGGATAACGTTTAAAATGACTTGATACCGGGTCATTGGTTTGAGGCTTCGAATATACAGCATGGCAGACAGAATATCAGGGAGTCTTGTGTAGTATATTGTGGAAGTTACTTGTATTTTGTTGCTACAAATACAGTTTCTTATATTTTAATCGTGTTCTAAACTAATTCATACAAACTTCTCTTGATATATTTTATACATTCCCTCTTCAAAATAAATGATAAAGTTTTAGTTACCGATGTAGCTTAATTTTGACACTGTGATATTTATTTTAAAGTACTACTACTAAAAGTTTCTCAACTATTCGATATAATTTACAAAACAGTGTTAATGTTTCTGATACCCCAACTGTATCTTGTTAGTAATCTACCTACACTAATTTACAAATTGTCGCGATGCATGTAAATTTTAACAAAATATTTTAGTAAATATTATTCCAATGTGAAGGTATACGACAGGGTTCCTTATTACCTATATTATTATTGTCAATAGTTAGACACCCTCTAGCAAGTATTCTTTATTTCATTTCTGAAATGCGGAAATATGTTACCCACGGGGAAGGTATACGACAAGGTTCCACTCTTTTACCACTCTTATTCTTATTGGTGGTTAATTTACCTTAACTTAGACAACCTTACATAAATGTATAAATTTAAACCAAACATTCTTGTCTATTTTAATGAATTTTTATTTTCATAGACATTCTACCGTTTAGTTGATTCAAGATGGGTTTCCTTAGCGTCAAATTAAGCAAACTATTTGATTAATGGATGTTTCTAATGAATTATCATGTATTCTTGATCATATCATTATTGCATATAATTAAAAGTTTTAACAATCATCTGCGTATATACAAATAAAAAAAACCCGACTTTTTTACCTTTTTTGATTGGTCACTCATTGGAATTCTGCTAATAATTCTCTTCTAATTTAACTAATTATGACATGTGAAGCAAACTGGTTTTCCAAGTCATTAGAACAACTCTACCTTCTAATTTCATAAATGAAAATAAGGGAACCCATCTTTAAATGTGTTAAAATTTTATTTTGTGGAAAAGGTTTGGGACAAGGTTCAGCTCTTAGACCTTTCTTATTCTCTGTAGTGATAACCGTACTAGAAACTATTCTGCCTTAACAAATACGGAATTCAAAACTTCGAAAATCTGCCAGAAATGGTTTTTTATCACTTTCAATTGGCTGCGATGACAACTTTTTCTGAAATTCTGTAAAATTGTGTCGATTTTAAGGCCGTGGGTGTAAAGTAACGAATCAACATTCGCATCTCTTCAGACTTGTCGTCTAATCTCGTGTGTGTGTTGAACGATTCTCAAACAAATTCAACGAGTCTCCATTCTAAAAAACTTCGTTTGATTTGGGGTGAATACAGCGCTGTACTCTTATTCTTTTATATAGATACAGCTCCTTTCTTACTGTATCGTTATTCTTTTATATAGATACAGCTCCTTTCTTACTGTACCATTATTCTTTTATATAGATACAATTCCTTTCTTACTGTACCGTTATTCTTTTATATAGATACAGCTCCTTTCTTACTGTACCGTTATTCTTTTATATAGATACAGCTCCTTTCTTACTGTACCATTATTCTTTTATATAGATACAACTCCTTTCTTACTGTATCGTTATTCTTTTATATAGATACAGCACCTTTCTTACTGTACCGTTATTCTTTTATATAGATACAACTCCTTTCTTACTGTACCGTTATTCTTTTATATAGATACAACTCCTTTCTTACTGTATCGTTATTCTTTTATATAGATACAACTCCTTTCTTACTGTACCGTTATTCTTTTATATAGATACATCTACTTTCTTACTGTATCGTTATTCTTTTATATAGATACAACTCCTTCCTTACTGTACCGTTATTCTTTTATATAGATACAGCTCCTTTCTTACTGTACCGTTATTCTTTTATATAGATACAGCTACTTTCTTACTGTATCGTTATTCTTTTATATAGATACAGCTCCTTTCTTACTGTATCGTTATTCTTTTATATAGATACAGCTCCTTTCTTACTGTACCGTTATTCTTTTATATAGATACAGCTCCTTTCTTACTGTACCGTTATTCTTTTATATAGATACAGCTCCTTTCTTAATGTACCGTTATTCTTTTATATAGATACAACTCCTTTCTTATTGTACCGTTATTCTTTTATATAGATACAGCTCCTTTCTTACTGTACCGTTATTCTTTTATATAGATACAACTCCTTTCTTACTGTACCGTTATTCTTTTATATAGATACAACTCCTTTCTTACTGTACCCTTATTCTTTTATATAGATACAGCTCCTTTCTTACTGTACCATTATTCTTTTATATAGATACAGCTCCTTTCTTACTGTACCGTTATTCTTTTATATAGATACAGCTCCTTTCTTACTGTACCGTTATTCTTTTATATAGATACAGCTCCTTTCTTACTGTACCGTTATTCTTTTATATAGATACAGCTCCTTTCTTACTGTACCGTTATTCTTTTATATAGATACATCTCCTTTCTTACTGTACCGTTATTCTTTTATATAGATACAGCTCCTTTCTTACTGTACCGTTATTCTTTTATATAGATACAACTCCTTTCTTACTGTACCATTATTCTTTTATATAGATACAGCTCCTTTCTTACTGTACCGTTATTCTTTTATATAGATACAGCTCCTTTCTTACTGTACCGTTATTCTTTTATATAGATACAACGCCTTTCTTACTGTACCGTTATTCTTTTATATAGATACAGCTCCTTTCTTACTGTACCGTTATTCTTTTATATAGGTACAGCTCCTTTCTTACTGTATCGTTATTCTTTTATATAGATACAACTCCTTTCTTACTGTACCGTTATTCTTTTATATAGATACAGCACCTTTCTTACTGTACCGTTATTCTTTTATATAGATACAACGCCTTTCTTAATGTACCGTTATTCTTTTATATAGATACAGCTCCTTTCTTACTGTATCGTTATTCTTTTATATAGATACAGCGCCTTTCTTACTGTACCGTTATTCTTTTATATAGATACAGCTCCTTTCTTACTGTACCGTTATTCTTTTATATAGATACAGCTCCTTTCTTACTGTACCGTTATTCTTTTATATAGATACAACTCCTTTCTTACTGTACTCGTTATTCTTTTATATAGATACAGCTCCTTTCTTAATGTACCGTTATTCTTTTATATAGATACAACTCCTTTCTTACTGTACCGTTATTCTTTTATATAGATACAGCTCCTTTCTTACTGTACCGTTATTCTTTTATATAGATACAGCTCCTTTCTTACTGTACCGTTATTCTTTTATATAGATACAACTCCTTTCTTACTGTACCGTTATTCTTTTATATAGATACAACTCCTTTCTTACTGTATCGTTATTCTTTTATATAGATACAGCGCCTTTCTTACTGTACCGTTATTCTTTTATATAGATACAACTCCTTTCATACTGTACCGTTATTCTTTTATATAGATACAGCTCCTTTCTTACTGTACCGTTATTCTTTTATATAGATACATCTCCTTTCTTACTGTACCGTTATTCTTTTATATAGATACAGCTCCTTTCTTACTGTACCGTTATTCTTTTATATAGATACAACTCCTTTCATACTGTACCGTTATTCTTTTATATAGATACAGCTCCTTTCTTACTGTACCGTTATTCTTTTATATAGATACATCTCCTTTCTTACTGTACCGTTATTCTTTTATATAGATACAGCTCCTTTCTTACTGTACCGTTATTCTTTTATATAGATACAGCTCCTTTCTTACTGTAACGTTATTCTTTTATATAGATAGAGCTCTTTCTTTTCGTACTGTACCCTTATTCTTTTATATAGATACAACTCCTTTCTTACTGTACCGTTATTCCTTTATATAGATACAACTCCTTTCTTACTGTACCCTTATTCTTTTATATAGATACAACTTCTTTCTTACTGTACTCTTATTCTTTTATATAGATACAGCTCCTTTCATACTGTACCGTTATTCTTTTATATAGATACAGCTCCTTTCATACTGTACCGTTATTCTTTTATATAGATACAACTCCTTTCTTACTGTACCG